TTTGCCCTCGCATGCAAACGGCCATCCAACAAAGTAAAATAGTTGCCCCTAAAAAATAGTTCTGCAAATAAAAATCCAAACAAACAGAGCCACCAAATACATTTGATCATGGATGATATTTTTTCCTGAGTTTTTCACCATAAAAATGCAGGATATGTCTCTTCTTTGATAGACAAAGTCACAAAGAGTACAACTTTACTTATATGTGAATTGCATAATATATATATATATATATATATATATATATATACATACATACATACATACATATATATATATATATATACATATATATACATATATAATGAATAGAAAATTCAGCTACAGGGCTAAAATATAAACTTTATTCGACAAAGTTGAACATGAAATTAATTAAATTATAATCTAATTATTAAATATAGCTCCGTTATATAAAATTCAGCTATAGGTCTTAAATTAACCTGTAAAGTTGAATATGAAATCAAAACTCAAATAAATTATAATCCGAATACAGTCTAAAATGATATAAGTTTGCGCAGAACAACAAGGACGGAGAATAGAATCTTTGGCAAGCTTGGACCAGACAGAATTTAATACATTTTTTTAATGAATATACACTAACAATTACTTGGACTACAATATAAATAGTAGGGTGAGAGGACATTGTCACGAGCATCTAGAAGCATGCATAGAAGATGGGTGTACATGATATTGCGCTATCTAGAAAGATAGCGTTGAGACAGATTGGGGAAGAGGACATGAAATTTAGGCATTGAATTACTAATGAAATGGTTTCATGATGTAGGACACAAACTTTAGTGCCATTAGTCATCTACTAACACACCAGTGACTTAATTTAATAACAATAAATACCAGTAGAGAAAACAATACCGAATATCTCTATTATTGACTGAATCATAGAGAATGTTATATAAAACACTCATGCATCTCAAATATGTAATAAATTGTTTTAGTTTGCTTAAAAATATACTTACATTCAAAATAAATGGGACCATTCGAGGTGAGAAGCTCGGGCGAGCCAAGTTAGAGAATGTTCAAAAACAAATTCACCATTAACTGACTACATCCATTTAGAGTGAGAAGCAATAGAGATATTCACGCTATGATGAGAAGACGTGGAAGAACATATATTGATAAGTCGATATATGAAAATGTACAAACAAAACACACAAACACTAAATGACCGGTGTTGAGGCACATGATGGAACAAATAAAAAGGTATGGGTAAGCGTCTTCAATGTTCAGATTTTCTTGGTGAACATCCCCAAAATATATTAGGTGGAAAGATAAATGAAAATGGATGAAAAAAGGTGGAACACTGAAAACTATAGATTTGTACCAAAGCCTATCGCTTGGCATTGCTATATATATATATATATATATATATATATATATATATATATATATATATATATATATATATATGCCCTGTCTCTTATAAGCTTTTGTTGTAGATAACCAAATTTTCAAGAACAAATTTAAACCAATTCCCAAAATATATTTTGCAGCATAGCTTAATATTTTTTATGAACAAATATATTTTAGCTAATTCTTTTATATTAATACTCATATGGTGGAAAAACAAAGGTAAAGAAAACCACCAAGATAGGAAGTCTAGCCGCGCAAATGCACGGGTCACCCCGCTAGTTCATATTAAAAAATAGTTTCAGTTGTATAATGTTTATAACATATAGTAAATATTTTACTAGCAAAAATGATGCTCGAAGTTCAATCACAAAAATAAGCACGCCATGTAAATAGGAAAACAGGAAGTGGCTTAGAGCATCTCCAGCCGTCCCCCCAGGAAGCCCCCCCTCCCCCAAGCCAGTTTTTGGGCGCCGACGGGCAAAAAACGCTCCAGTCAGGCCCCCAAGTGCTCGTTTTTCGCCGGTAAAAGCAAAAAACGGCACCGGCGATCCCATGCAACACCCAGCGCATCGGGGGGCCAGCGTCTCCCTCCTATCCCCTCACTTTTTCTCACTGGCCCACCCACTTGCTCCCTCCTCTCTCTCTCCCTTCACGCACACACGGACACAGCATGGAAGCCATCCGCTCCCGTCCCCGCCGCCTGGCACGCCGCTCCGCTCTCGTGTCCATCGCCGGAGGGCCGCCCACGCCCAGCTGCCCGGCCACCTCAGCCTCGCCGCCGTGCTCCCTGTAGCCCAGCCGCCTCAGCCTCGTCGCCGGAGGACGGAGCCGACGGGGCACACACGCAACCGAGGTCCTCCCTGGAGAGCCCATCCGGACCACCGTGTTGGCGCCCCCTTCCTCCTCCTCCTCCTCTCCGTCCTCGTCGCAGGCTCGGAGGAGCGCCCACGCGTCACCCCCACCTTGGTCCAGTGCCAGCCGGCGCAGGCGCAGGCAGCCGCCAACGACGTCCTCATGCTGGCAGCGGCGGCCATAGCGGGCGGGGCAGCAGCGGAGGGCGGCCACAGCCAGGCGCGGGCGCGGACGGGGCGGCGCGGTGGCGGCCGACGCGGTCTCGGACGGGGCGGCGCGAGCGCGAGCAGCAGGCGCGGCCAGGTCCGGCCGCGAACAGCAGGCGCGGGCGCAGACGGGGCGGCGCGGTGGCGGCCTGGCGCGGGCGCAAGCGCGAGCAGCAGGTGGCGGCTAGGCGCGGGCAGCAGGCGTGGCCAGGTCCCGCCGCGAGCAGCAGGAGCGGGGGTGGACGGGGCGACGCGGTGGCGGCCATGCGCAGTCTCGGACGCGCGGTGAGGATGACGGCCTCGCTTGGGAGGCTCAACGGCTTGAGAGTTTTTCATCCCAAATCTAAAATTCTCGCCGGAAGCCCCCCAGGCGGCGAAAAAAATGCCTCCTGGAGGGCTCAACGGCTGAAGATGCTCTTAGTCGTCATCCCCATCTATTTCTTCAGCGGAACTGGCGAAGATAGATTCTTGGGGATATATATCATGCGTCTGTGATCATCACACCTTAAATCCTGGACGCCGTAGAAATCCGTCTGTGATGTGTATTTCTATCTGTCTGTAATGTGCCTTTGTAGTAGTGTCGAAGGATAAATTAAGACGTGCATGAGTGTAGTAGGGAATTTGTTCTGAATGACGCCTGCTCGTGCATTGATCCTGCCACCTGCCCGTTTGGATTGAAGATAGGAAAGTAAACTAGAAACACTATGCGCACGAATTTTGATTGAGCAAATAATAGTTTCAAGCTTTGGCAAACATATTTACACATATATGCATAGACCGAGATAAAGTAGAATATAAATGGAATAAGAAAAGGAATTTTACGATAGAACAGGTTAGACGCACAACCACTAACGTCACATTCACATAACCGCATACTATGTGTGTTTCCTACACATAGGAATAGGATACTAATTAATGCATGCTCCATCAATCCCACTTAAGTGACCGCGTGTTGTCCCACTTTAGAATATACTCCTGACGTCATGGACAAACGTGTTTTGTGAGTCATCATAGATAGGTAAGACACTTGACCTGTCCGTGATGAGCATCATGTACACAAACTGGTGGAAAATTGGACTTATCTGATATTTATCTTTAGGGTTTTTGAAAAAAACTAGCATATCTGCCCGCGAAAATGCACATACAAAATCTTAGTCATCTATTATTTTTGTAAGCCAGGAGTCTTGTAAACTTAGGTTATACTCCCTCCGTTTCAAAATAGATGACCGAACTTTGTATTAAAGTTAATACAAAGTTGAGTCATCTATTTTGGAACGGAGGGAGTATAATCTATTGAAACATTCATGATTACTTGATCGTCATAATCCTACATGTAAGTTTGACCGTATACACTATGAATTGATTAATCTTAAGAATATATGAAAGCAACTCAGAAACATATGATATGTTTGAGAAATAATCAAAGTATACCAAGACAAAATAAAATACTCATATCATGCATTATCAAGTGTCTGTTCAGATTTAAATATGTAGAGTAAATTATAAAAGGATGAATTAGCTGCGATGAATATAAAACAAAATAGTTGAGATGAATTTAAACAGCCACTGCTCCTCGCAATGGTTAAATTCAACCCATAGGCAATTTACTATCAGAAAGTGAAAAAGGATAAAACCTCATGAATAACATCTCAACTCCGTCGTATATATAATACGCACGGAAATGAATACAAAACAAATCAGCAGGACTTGATATAGGCTACAAGGTTTCAAAGAGAGATATGGGGTAAAGAAGAACAACAACAAGGGAGTGGGGAGGGGATGGATGAAGCTGATTCTCTTCTGTTCATCAGCAGAAGTCGTAAAATAACACCAGCAGAAGTCGTAAAATCAATTCATCACCCCGTACGTACTTACTCCCTCCGTTCCAAATTAGTTGACTCCCATTTGTCTAGACATGAATGTATTTTGACACTAAACAAGTATAGATACATTCATATCTAGACAACTGGGGGTCAAGTATTTTGGAACGGAGGGAGTACATCTTACGTAGCTAGATCATCAGCTCGATCGGTCAAAACAAATTTAAGCTTGGCGCGCGCACACACACATAAGCAGAATTTATTTATCGGGAATACAATTTACATGGATTTATTTACACATACTAGGAGGAATATTTATTTAAATCGCAGTCCATCACACGTGGCATCCACGGGTGAGACTGCATGCATGCACACAGCAAAAATATACGTACCATAATTTATATAGATAGGCAGTAAGCGCCAATGAGGTCATCCACTATCCATGCACGCACGTACGGAGTCAGTAGGTTCGACAAAGGGTGAAGTGTTATACACTTATACAGGCACAATAGAGTGGATGCAGAGCATCGTCCATACATCGGGAGTACAAATTACTTGGATTTAGTTAAAGACACTAGGAGGATTATTTATTTAAATCACACCCCAGCCTCACCTGCATGCAGACAGCAAACATAAACAGTAGTACGTACCATAATAATTTATATACGTATAGGTAGTGACACTCCTGCACTGCTGTTTGCCACACTTGCGGCAGGAGTGACAGTGCCGCCGCCGGCTGTTGCTTGCAGCGTCATCAGAGCCACTCAAGTCTCCCCCCTGGGTGTACGCGTGGGACTCCTTGCCCCCTTTGCTGCTGGAGCGTCAGCAGCATCAACCGGCGGTGCTCCTCTTCCTCCACCTCCTCGTCATCCTCATCATCTTCGTCCTCGTCGTCTTCTTCGAAGGCATCATAGTCATCTTCATCATCGTCGTCCTCGTCGTCGTCCTCATCGTCGGAGGCGCTGAAGTCCTCCTCCTCATACCCATGAGCGCCTGCCAGTAAGGAGAACTTACGTGCATCCTGTGGCCCGTACCCACGAGGGACTGCCGATGAGTTGCCAAAGCGAGCGACTGCCAGTGAGTCACTAGAGAACCCCTGCCCCTGCCCCCCAAGTTGCCCGTACCCATGACCACGAGGGACTGCCAGTGAGTTGCTCGAGTGAGCGAGCGCCAGTGAGTCACTAGAGAACCCATGCGCCCCCTGTCGCTCGTACCCACGAGGGACTGCAACTGAGTTGCTCGAACGAGCGACTGCCAGTGACTCACTAGAGAACCCCTGCGTGCCCCGCAGCTTGCTGGGTTGTTGCCGTAGCAGCAACCACTGCAGCTCCTGCTCTCGCTGCCGCAGTTTTCGCTCCTGTCGGAGCCTCAGCTTACGCTCTCGCTGCAGCTTTTTCTTTCGCTTCCGCAGCTTTCGCTCCTGCTCCTTGTCCCCGAACAGGATGTAGCCGGGCAAGCCAAAGATTCCTCCGAACGTCATTGCAAACTGTCTGTTAGGTTATCTATCTATGGCTTGTGTGCATTGCGTTGTATGGATTGGCTTTATATATAGGCGCGAGTTAGCTGCCCTGCCATGGGTGCAACTTGCAAGTGGGAGAATTTGTGCTCCCATATGTTTGCTTTAGCATTTTAGTCCATCCGGGAAGGCATATCATCCTAACTATGTAAATAATCATATTCGTATGCCATATGTGACCTGTGAATGATAAAAGTAAAGATTCTATTCTTTTCTTAATTGCTAATTACCTAGAAGTAATTCTTATCCAGTTATTCTATCTCAACATCGAAATCCCAGATGTATCTTGGGCACATTTGGGCCTTGGTTTTTTTTATCAAACTAATATTTTTCACACAGGGTGTAAACTTGAAAGCTTTACAAAGTATTTACTTGTAAATGTTTTCAGCAATTTCTAAATTTGCAAGTGTGGTTTTCAAGAAAATTTGATCCCAAGCTAAAACGAATCTGAGACCCAAAAATGCTCACTCACCTTAGTATGTACTGCATATAAAAAGAAGATCCAAATCTCTACCTTAAGATGCACATGCACTATTACATAAACTTGAAGAGTGGCCTTCCCAAATGCACCGGCAACATCTTAATGTTCTACTAATTATAAGACGATTCAAACTTTTTTAAATATTACCTCTAAAGCTAGTAATTTTGGCTTCAGTAAATTAGATTATAATAATGTAATAATCATAAGTGGTGTATTTACCTAATTGAAAAAATATGAAACCTACCCAAAAAAATCAATTTGGACATACAATTTTGAGCAATGAAGTACTTTCGTAAACGTTGTAGTGTCTTCAAATATCATATCATATCCTTTCAAAGGCTTTAGGTAATTACAACATTGGATGAATTGATGTATATGGGGTCTATACAGGTTAGAGGCAAATATTGTAATGTTATACATATATGACTGGAGTACACATTATCAGAGGCTAGAGTAAAGCTGGATCGAAGACCATTTGATTTACAATGTATATACCATTTATTTTCTGAAATATGCATAACGTACATGTATGGCCATCTAAGTTTTTGACATATAGAAAAGGAATACTCCCTCCATTCTGGTTTACAAGGCTCAATTTGACAATCTCTTCAACCAAGGTAGACGATGAGTGGTGATATTAATTTCCTAATTTGCAAAAGTACTTAATTAGTATGCTCGTTTTTCTCAAAAAGTTGTGTATACGATGCATTAATGACGACACATGTATGCATTAATGCAGTGATTTAATGTACCTTCAAATCTATACATGTGATGCTAAATAGTAGAATTGAGACTTATAAGACTGAAAACCATTTTTTTTGAGATGAACCCTATAAACTAGAGATGAGAGAGTACATATATGACTGGGATGGTAGAGCAGACGAGGTCAAGGCCATTCAATCTTTGGAAAATAATATAATATTAATAATTTCCAGAATTGTGGAGGTAATAATATTAATTATCAATGAATGGCATGGAAGTGTAATGCTGAATAAAAACATATACTTTAAAGGACATGCATTATTTGTTTACATTTTGGCTTATCTTTCCCTCCTGTCTTTTTATTATATTCGTCAACATAGTTCACTCTCTCTTTCTGCTAAATCAGTGCTGACCAAATCCATCACAATACGATAGACACATAAGCACAAGGGCACGAAATATAGGAAGTATGCTTTTGTGTGAACATGCATTATTTCCGACCCTGATGTTAATTGTTCTTCTTGTCAATAAAAACGGCAAGCTATCTTCCTATGGATTGTATAATTTTGATAAACCTTATGGGTAACATGGCTATTATTGTGATATGGTTTTTCTGTAATAATGTAGGTTACTATATACCTTAAATCACAAAGAGACAAAGAAGTATGTGTAATATCCAAAATCTATGAGGAAAAGGCCGCCTATAATAGTTCAACATCCTATCTCAGAGGTTCCACACATAAATACCTATCAAACAAATAGAAAATTCAGAATGAACTAAAAACTAAAAACGCTTTCGTTATAGACCAATAGCTCAGGAGAAGAATCGCATGCTTATAATCTTCAGTTTTGATTTTGAAAATCATGCTATATCATCGACACCAAGTTGCATTGAGAAGTTGATTTAATGTTGTTAGAAATATATTATTTTATGATTGCTTAAACGGGTAGTGGTAAATGCTCCTACTTCAGAATGAAAAATCCACTAGTAGAAAACAACCCATTAGACCCGGTTCGTAAGGGCCTTTAGTCCCGGTTCAGGAACCGGGACTAATGGGCCGTTAATAATACCTCAACCCATTAGTCCCGGTTCAAACACGAACCGGGACCAATGTGCCTCCACGTGGCCCGGTGCGCCGAGCCCAGTCAGGGGGCCTTTGGTCCCGGTTGGTGGCTCCAACCGGGACCAAAAGGCATCCACGCGTCTGCATTCCAGTGGCTGGGGTTTTTGTTTTTTTTTTGAAATAAGGGGGGTTGGGGGTTTTGGGGGGTTAATTTAGGTGTTTCGTATATTGTGTTATCTAGCTAATTAATAGAGAGAAGTGTCCTCTCTTATGTCCATGCTTGGTCGACGCTACGTAGTATATATACATAAGTGATCAAGAGAACCATTCAGTACAGAAGTTCGTCATGCATACCGAGAGAAGTGATCGATCGACCTCTCCTTCTCCGAGAGATTGGTCGAACAACAAGTTTTTTACTGGCTACATACATGTACAATATGTATAAGATCTCTTAGTTACAAACCCCTAGCATTTGAAATCAACTTCCACATGGTATTCTCCGGCTTTACTGATGACGTGTTCAAGAAAGAATCCCGTCAATTCCTCTTGAATTGCTTTCATGCGATCTGGTGGTAGGAGTTCATCCCGCATTTGCCACGTCTAATTAATTTGAAGAAGGGGGTTAATTAATACATATATATGAATGAAACTCAACAGAAATGATGGTGTAATAAAATGAAATTGTGAATATTATTGCTTACGCGCTTCATATTGTCTTCTAGAGTAGCCCCGCTTGTTTTTCAAAGTCGCGTTGTGGATGAACTCGCACACGTAGTATCCACAGAAATCATTCCCTTCCTCCTGCCACAAGCACTTTACGAGAAATAGAGGTCAATCAAAGTGATAATGAAGCATTATAAATGTCATTGATGAAATTATAGCTATAGAATCAACGGGAGATGCGCGCAACTAGCTAGCCAGTAGTACTTACTTTCGGGTATACATATCGCAGCTCCTTCGGCAGTCCCGGAGCTTGTGAGGTGAACTGTTTCCAAACCCTGCAAGACAAAAAAAATAATAATTATTACTTGAGATATCAGGAAATGAACAAAAAATTGCCGATATGGTGCGATAATGATCGATTGAACTTACTTGCTGAGCATTTCAGTCATGTCCGCATAGGTGCTGGGATCTTTCCGTCTGGAGTCTAAGACGGTTACTAGTCCACGCTCAAGCTTAATCTCCAGAAGAATATAGTGGTACCTGCACACGCATGCATAACTCATCAATTACATTAACCTCTCGCTCGAGTAATAAGGGAAACCGAATATGCACACGACAGTAACACTCACAGGCCGTTGTAAGGAAAGGGTATGGTATCTTTGTTTTGATTTTTGATCAACGATTGTAGCAAGTTGTCCTCGGCCTCTTCGACGTGCTTTTTAACCAGAAATACATCTATGATATTTGTGTTAATGAACCCAATATCATAGATTTCATTTTTTTTGCACTCGACGATCTTCAATCTGCATAATATATTGAGGATAATTAATTATAAATACATGCAATGAAAGAGCCGAGCTATATATAGAGACTTAATGACAGAAATAGTACTTACAGGCAGTAGCAAAAGACCATTAATTTATCGAGGGCCTTTTGATTGAAGAACTCGAAGAACTCCTCAAATGGAACACACAACAGATCATTTGTAACCAGGTCGTGCTCCTCTTTAATGTTCAGATACAAACTGTTCGTCCCCTCAGACTCTCTGCAGGTTTTCATGTACCAACTATGGAATCTTCGCATCATTGTTGTCAGAGATTTTTTCATCTTTGACGAGAGGCTTCCCGTACTCGTATCTGAATACGTCCACCTCCATGAAATCAGGAAGTGCATTGTCAGGCAGGTAATCTTCAAGATTGCCATAACCGGCCACCGTCCCCGGAGGATTAGACACATTGAGCGGGGGGCACGATTGCTGTGCTTGTTCGCCGAGCTGGGCAATTTTTTTCCCCTTTGCTCGTTGTTCTTTTGACCTTTTATCACTGACAGTAGTTCCCGACCGCTTGGCTTGGAGATATGTCTGTTCAGTCATGCGCTCATAGTTGGTTCTCAGCGAAGACTTTGGTGGTTTCCTCAGGGCATCGAGAGTGCACTTTGCTTTCACCGGATCTACCTTCTCCTCCGGAGGTGGATGTATCTTTGCTTTCACCCCTTCAAAGAACTCCTTCACGTGGGTCTGCACGATCGTATTGTTTTCCTCCTCGGTCCTCTCGTACGGTAACTTCTCTAGAGGCTTTAGAGGTGGACCGTATATGTATTGCCTCTCTCCTCTTCTTGTGCTGCTAGACACCGGAGTAGACGGAGTGGCTGCGGCGTCTATCTTCTTTCGTGCTTGCTTACGAGGCGGAGGAGAAGGACTACGACGCGCCGGAGCAGCCGGGGCGGCGGTGGGTCTCTTCCGCCCTTGCTGGCGAGGCGGAGAAGGAGGAGGCGGAGTGCCGCCACGCGCCGGAGAAGGAGGCGGAGTGCCGCCACGCGTGCCCTGATCGTCACTCGCCGGAGGAGGAGGCAGAGTGCTGCCACGCGTGCCCTGATCGTCACTTGCCGGAGGAGGAGGCGGTGGAGGAGGCGGAGTGCCCTGACTCGCCGGAGGAGGAGGAGGAGGCGGAGGCGTCCAGTTCAGAAGGTTGATGAGCTCCTTCCGCCATAGACATGGAGTCTTCAGAGCAGAACCCAACCTAGTCTCCCCTTCACCGGTAGGGTGCTCAAGCGCG